CACTTACCGCCCGCCCGCCCGCGACCCAGCTCGCGCACGCTGCCGCTCCCACCGCTCCCTCCCCCGCCCCCAACGCTCCCGCGAGGAAGCGGGCGGGCCCAGCCGGGCCCAGAGCATGCGCAGTGGCGCCCGTCGATGCTTGCCCGGAGCATCCCCCCCCTCCCGGCACTGATTGGCTCCGGCCCCCGGGGCGGGCCGGAGGGGAAGGCGCGCGCCGTCGCGCCGCCAGTCACGTGTCGGGTGGGGACGCCCGGGCTATTCCCCGCCCTTTCGCGTGGGCCGCGGTCTGGGACCGGGAACACGGGTTCGATAGTCGCCCCCGGCCCTCCCCGGGCGCAGCCGGGCAGCCGCTTCCCGAGGGCTTTCCCCATGGGAAAGGCGACATCCCCATGCTCCCATCGGCCCCCCGTTCACTTTGCACAGAATCACAGAATCAATTAGGTTGGAAAAGACCTCTGAGATACCGAGTCCAACCCATGACCGAACACCGCCATGACAACCAGGCTGTTGGGAAAATCTTTATTTGTAACAAATAGTGTTATACGGGGAAAAAAACCCTTTCTCTAAGAAAGGATGTTCTTTGATGTTTGATCTTTGTAACCTTCAAGACTAATGAACAAGAAGGAAGATTCAATCCATGAAAGAGATGGCAGCCAACGAGCAATGATGTCAAGGTGTCAGAAAAACAAATTGAAGTTTAGGGCATGACATGCTTCAGTGATTGCAGACCTGGGGGAGGAGGTTAACATAGTTTGGGAAGAAGGATGTACCACTGAAAACAGACAGGAAGAATGCAGAATTTACAGGCCACAAGGACATTTGGCAGAACTCATGAGATAAGAAAGAAACTCATAAAACCAACTCCATAATTGTGCTGCAGTCAGCTCCAAGTGGGTAAAAGGCAATTCCTGCAGGGGGGATCAGAGACTACTGACCCAGGAAACCCACTGACTGAAAAGAAAGGAGAAACTGAGCATGCAACTAATTAGCATGAGAAGAGAGAGAATCATTAACTGATAGAAGATACAATATGAATACTGGAACAATGTCACTTGTAGCCAGTGAACACTGATTCCTTTGTTTGCTAAAGTGTATAAATAGTTAAAAATTTTGATTACTGGGGTGTGTGTGTCAGAAGGAGCAATTCCCCCACGCCCCTCGAGCCAAAGATAAAGTAATGGCTGCTCAGCTTTCTAATACTGAAATTACAGTGTTAGAGAGTTTTATTTTCCCGACATTTTCAGTGACAATTTCTGGTGATTCAGATGGAACCCTGCATCCAATGCTTGACAGATTCACAGGATCAAGAGGACTCCAGTGTGCACCAGAGGTTTTTCAGGGAGATTCTCCGGTCCCCTGATCTGTTGAGTTCAAGGCATGGCCCCTGGGATTTATTAAGGTGTTACTGGGGGGGGGGCTGGAAAGCCTCGCTGGATTAAGGTAAAGGGAACTTGGAAACTAGGTTTTGGGCTAGTTTGCACATAATTATGGGGACATCCAGAGTGCCAGCCCTACGGAAGGTTAAAAAGTGTGAGCAGGTTTTGCACACCCCTCAGGGTTAAAAGTGTGAGTGGCTGTTGCACATCACTCTCAAAAGGAAATGTAATTGTGTTTTATTATATTCTATGAAGGGTTCTGGTCAAACATCAAAAGGGGGGGCTTTGGAGAAATCACGCCTAGGATGTATTTTGAAACAGTGGAGGGAGGTGGGAGGTGCAACAGGAGGGTCTCTCTCCAGAAAAAAGTTAATTGAATACTGTAATAATTGGTGGCCTTTGTACTCTTTGGATGATGGTGAAAAATGGCCAAAGAATAGAACTTTAAGTTACAATACAATGAAAATACCTTGTGAGCACTGATGCATATGGGCTTGGGAACTGGGACACCAACCATACAATTAACACATGAATAGCAGGTGGTTCTTCCAAAACTCATTTATCAAGGAACAAAGCAAGTTGTGGGTACTAGTCTCATGGTGACCTTTTCCATTGCAGGTAATTTGACTACGAGCCAACCACTTTATCCCATAAATGACAGCCTGAGTGAGCCTTCTTTGAGCTCTCCCTGCTAAGCAGCTGGCTGCATGGCAGTGGTCTCCCCCTGTGAGCTGGGACACCTCTCACAGTTACTCCTCGAGGTCGGGAGACCCGAGCCCAACTGCAGGTCCCTGGTAAGTGACTGGGGGATTATATAATCTTGTATTAGAGTGCACTAGATTTTGTATTGGTAACTGATTTTGTGTTGGTAATTTTAAATCATTATTATATCCTGTGCAGTAACAGAGTAAACCTTGCCATCAAACTTTTGTTAAGTAACACTTTTACAACATCTTTAATAAAACCACTTTTTCTGATACCTTTGCTGGTGGTTCTTCAAGTGGTCTAAGTCGCCCACCTGTGACACCTCCTTCTTTGCACAAGGTTCCAACACATTCAAAAGCCACATGCCTGCACACCCATCCCTTGCTCCATTTCAGGGCCACATCCTGCATCTGCGCTCACTGTCCCCTAATGTAGTCTGTTTGTCTCTCACCAACAAACCACATGGCAAGGACTTCTGTGGCCCCCCTGTCCCATGCTACACAATATAGCACTGAAATGAGGTACACTGGATTTCTCGAGGAGTTCTCTGTGTGTCACAAACGTGGATGTAATGGTTGATAAAGGCAAGGATAAATAATTTGCTGATCAAATGAAGTTTATAATAATGAAGTTCGCAATGGAATGGTTAATGTTTTACTTAGGTTGCAAAACGTTAAATTGCAAAATGCTAAACCGCAATGTTGTGTTGCCATGGCGAGTTATATCCTGTTATGCTAAGTCTATGCTTAAGTGCTCTTATAAGGAAGAAAAAGCATGAAGCTATATACGAAGGACAAAGGGGGTCGGCTAAAGGGACCAGAAAAGGACCTACTACCTTCATCCGAGGATTGCGATATGGCGAGTATTGAGGACTGTTGACTAACCAGACTGTTGGGTGGCCCCTAGCAAGAGAATGAGGTCCATGCAGTGAGAACCAATGATGAAGCGGAAAGAGACTAAGGGGGAGGGGATTGCAGCAAGTATAAAAAAGCGAGCTTTGGTTTATTAAGCTTGTGCACCATTGGCGGAGCAGGAGACTCCCCGGCCGCCCAGCGCTGTTTTGCTCATTTGCCTTTAATAAATTTTGGTATTTCAAATTTTAAAATTATTTGTGGTCTCTTTGACTATAACAGTGGAGAGGGATGCCTTTTATGATAAGGTAACCCATCTAGTTGATCAAGGGAAGCCAGTTGATGTACTACTTTCAGACTTCAGCAAAACTGTTGCTACTGTCTCTCACAGGTTCCTTCTGCACAAAATGTCCAGCACACAGCTGGATAAACACATTATGTGGTGAGTGAGCAATTGGCTCATGGGTGGAGCAGAGAAGGCAACAGTGAATGGGGTGACATCAGACTGGTGACCAGTCACTAGTGGGGTTCCACAGGGCTCTATCTTGTGCTCTTCAACATCTTCATAAATGGCTTGGACACAGGACTGGAAGGGATACTAAGCAAGTTTACGGATGACACAAAACTGGGAGGAGCTGCCTTGAAGGGAGGGAGGCCCTGCAGAGAGACCTTGACAAATCAGAGGGCTGGGCAATCACCAACCACATGACGTTCAACAAGGGAAGAGCTGGATTCTGCACCTGGGATGGGGCAACCCCGGATGTTCATACAGACTGGGGAATGAGGTGCTGGAAAGCAGTGCCATGGAAAGGGACCTGGGCATCCTGGTCAATGGCAAGTTGAATCTGAGTCAGCAGTGCCCTGGCAGCCAGGAGGGCCAACCGTGTCTTGGGGGGCATCAGGCAAAGCATCGCCAGCCACTCAAGGGAGGGGATTGTCCTGCTCTGCTCTGCACTGGTGTGGCCTCACCTTGAATATTGTGGCAGTTTGGGGCACCACAATACAGGAAAGATATTGAGCTGTTAGAGAGGGTCCAAAGGAGGGCAACGAAGATGGTGAAGGGCCTTGAGGGGAAGCTGTATGAGGAGCAGCTGAGGTCACTTGGTCTGTTCAGCCTGGAGAAGAGGAGACTGAGGGGAGACCTCATCGCAGTCTACAACTTTCTCATGAGGGGAAGAGGAGGGTCAGGTACTGATCTCTTCTCTGTGGTGACCAGTGACAGGACTTAAGGGAATGGCCTGAAGTTGTGTCAGGGGAGGTTTAGGTTGGGTAACAGAAAAAACATTCTTCACCCAGAGGGTGGTTGGGTGCTGGAACAGGCTCCCCAGGCAGTGGTCACAGCACCAAGTCTGTCAGAGTTCAAGATGCATTTGGACGATACTCTCAGGCACAAAATCAGGTCTGACTCTTGGGAATGGGTGCAGGGCCAGGAGTTGGACTTGATGATCCTTGTGGGTCCCTTCTGACAGAGCACATTCTGTGATTCTGTGAACCCAGTAAGAAGCAGGCATTTCTCTCCTGCAGTAGCAGAATTTGCCCAGCTCACTGTTCTGATTAATGTAATCTCTGTTCAAGATTATTTCTCCCACCGGATCCATCAGGCTTAGGTGTATTTTAACAGTTCTAAGCCCCGAGACAGGCAGACTTGCATTCACAATGAGTTTCAGAAAAGCAAGTTTTACTAACTCAGCACTGTGCAAGGGCACAGAAAACACCAACAAACTCTTGCTCTCATCAGTTGTGTCTCTGCTGCAGATGGCACGGAGCACAAGTTCTTCCAGTGCACTGCGAACTTTGCTTGTGGATGAGAAGAGGGGAGGGGGAAGACCAGGAGCTCAGAAATTATCTAGGAAAAGTTTGATGCCTGTTCTTAGGACAAAGAATTCTAATTCTGTAAACTACAAAAGTGACATTTAAATGTAAATTTAAAAAAACATCAGGTGAAAGGCATTTTAATTGAATGCAATTAGCACCACAGACTTGAGCACACTGTTCGCTGTGTAGTAGTCCTGTCCAGCATATAAATCCCAGGGTGCAAAGTGTGTTGGCAGTAGGGAAGCTTTGCCTATAAGATTTTTTTCCTGCACTTCTGAACTCCACACTGACAGGAAATTTCTGTCTCTGGCATGCTTCCAGCTTCATAGCCATAATCCCACGTGAGTTCGGTTCCAGCTTTCACATGTCTAAGAAACAAAACACTCGGTCAATTTGTTTGAACTGAGTGAAACGGTACTGTGTTTTCAATTTGTCACCAATGACTCACATGCAAACCCAAAAACTCTATGGGGCAGGGACCATCACACAGGCAGCTTGTTGGGAGAGAAACAAGATATATAAGGAGTCTCTGACACACACATGGTGCTTGGCCTACCAGAGCTGTACAGAGTGCAAATACCCACACATAGATGAAAAGAATTTATCAAGCAGTGCAATAGTGTCGGAGTCTAAACAACCTGCTTTTAGACAAAATTCTGGGAAACAAAAATCAAACAAAACAAAACAACAACAAAAAAAGGAAAAATACATAAGTGAACACATCCTAAATGAGAACACAGTTTTGTTATTTTTACTAAGTCCAGTGCATCATTGAAGTTTGAACAGATCTCTAGATATGCTGGCCATCTTTGGCCTGACAAGCTACGTTTTAATGCAATTGCACTATCTATATGCACAAAGACTCAGAATTAAACACATGCTCCTCATGAACCAGCTGCTCTGACAGTACATGAAAGAGCAGAAATTTCTCAGGTAGGAAATTCATTGCCGAAAAGGAATGCCAAACTAAATACCTTAGACTAATATGCTGAGGGACAACTGATGGAAAATACAATAAAATATGAGCATTATAAAGAAGAGAGTAATTCTCCAATGTTTCTCATTGGATACAATGTAAGGGACATCCAGTGAATTACCAGGCAGCAGGCTGAGAACAAACAATGAGGACTTTTCAAACAGCACATTTTAACCTGGGACTTGCTGCCTTAAGATGTTCTGGAGGTCAGACATATAAAACAAATGAAAAGGTGACTGGGCAAGTTCATGGAAAGTACACAATTAAGCTCAATGATCCAGATGAAGTCCTTAATGTAGAAAAGTTGTAAAAGGGTGATGTCCAGTAAATGTGAGAGCCAGTCAGGGAAACTCTCTTTCAACAACCCTTCTCTTTCCCTAAGATTCTTTGCTGATCAGTGTTACCTCTCTCTACTTGCCTCAGTCCCCACTACACATATCTTTACAGAGTACCTGAGCCAGAAAGTCTCTAGCTAAAACAAAATCTTTTTTCTGACATATTTCAACACATTGTCTTCACAATTTTTGGAAGCCTCCCAGTGCAATCCACAGCATCTGTGTTAGTTTGGACCAGGGTTGCAAGACTCCAGAGAAGATCAATGTTCCCAGGAACTGGTTTGTCTGGGACAAATTCTCTTCTATTTTAAGTTCTTGCCTAGTATCACAGCTGGTACATGCATCAGCCAGATTCATTCAGCCAATTAATCCTTCCACCCCTGGGTTTAGCTGCCCTCTTCTTATGTTTTACTGGAACCAGCTCTCTGTACCACCCTTTCTATCAGCCACTAAGGAAATACCTGCATCTTTTGCTTTCAGAGCAAATTTTCACCCTTTAAGTATCCTAATGCCACCTCCCTGGGACATGTTGGGCTACACAAAGTCCTGCTTCTCTTGATAGGTGTGAGAAGGCCTGGAGCTAGCTTGTTTGGCCCACAAAGTATCTCAACCTTAATATTCTGTGGGGTTTCATCCTGCCCTATGGGACCAAGATATGCAGGCCATTCTTTGAGACAGAACAGCGGGATGAGTGAATCTTGGCTTTTAAAATAACCATGCCGAGTTAAACCTATTTGTCCACTGAAGAAGATTATCACTGAAATGGACACATCAAAATTAAGCTTCCCTACTTCATATTTCAATGCAAAACTGAAGAAAAACTCATCAGTGATAATATGTTTTTAGTGCACAATAAGAACTCACCAATAAGAAGGTAATTTTGTGCTTTCATGATCTAAGCATCTCCCTCACCCCTCAGCATAATTATGTCCTAATAACTAAATACTGATTTTTTTCCCCTAGTGCCTTGAATGAACAACATTTAACTTCCAGAAATTCACCTGTTTGTGAAGAATGCCACCCATGGAAAACTTCTGTTGTGAGTCTCTACAAACACGCTTTGTGCAAAGAGATTTGGGCAGCAGCTGTGCTGTAAAACAGGAAATCTGTATTAGAAACAGTGAAACACCACATCATTGGCTGAAAAACCTATTTTGTGTCAGATATTTGTCACTAGAAAAGGTAGTTTCTTCCTTCCCATCTCCAGCCCACACAGAATGTCTATTACTCAATGCCACTGCCACTTATTTTTGCAATAATTATGTCTCTTTAAAGTATCACTTTTTGCCTATGAAAACCAAGTTCTTTTATCAAGTTGTTCTCCAGAAATTTATGGAGAAAATTCATCTTAGATTCAGAATGCACCACAAATAATCAGTATGTGACAGATGTATCTTGCTGTCAGCCAGGGGAGCAGTGCAAGGGAGCAAGCAATGGAGTAAATGATCGTGTGTTGGCAAAGTACCAGATGTGAAAGGTGATTCAGGTGCTCATGGGAACATGTGTATGCTCAAGGCTGCAGAAGAAAGGTTTCTGCAAGATGCATTACTAATCTTTACACCATATTACCTCTGCAAGGAAGAACAGCTTAAACATATTGCAAGGATTTTGCTGTAAGACACATATTCTGCCAATGAAGAGAAATAAGTTCTTTGCAGAGCATGTGCAGAAATGTCTATTCATCTTAGCTGGAGGTACTTGGTAATTCATTACTATTTATTTCTTGGCAAGTCAAAACTGAGAGACTTATTTAGTAGACAGGTACACAGTAGGACAGACCACTTTCTGAACCTATAATTGAACAGTAGGGAAGTTTTGTAAAATATCAAAACACTTGTCCTAAACCAGCACTAACTAGAATTTACAATGGCTGGGAGAAGGCATGTGGATCAACAAAACGTGCCATTTGCTCTCTGGACCTCCCAGAAGGCCATCAGGATAAAGACATCACTCATTACTGGTGCCAACACTACAGCTGGTATGTGGCATGCATCAGGTTGTGAAGGCACTAACAGTGACCCAGCCTACTGTCCTGTCACCTGTGATGGCAGGGAGGACCACATGTGCCTTCCTTTCATGCATCTACCTCACATGTGGTTTATGTGCAAAAGCTTTCTAGCTTAAGCTTAAATAAATGATGTATTTGCAAAGACAGTGGAGAGAACGCATGCAACTTTTTACTTACATTTAGAAAACGACCCACATTTCCTTCTTTTGTGGCATCCAGTACATAAATATTTTCTTCACTAGCATTCTTCGGAAGCATCCCATCTCCATCAGCCTCCTCACAAAATGCATCTTGACTTGACTGCCTGCTATTTTCCTCTTTGCAGTCAGCTTTTAGGGGTATATTATTGGATGGCCTCGCAACACACGTGTCATCCAGCACACCTGACTTGCCCCAATCAACACCCTGCAGTGAGAGACTCTTTCTTTTGCATCTCGCACTGTCCACACCAACAGACTCAGTCTGTCCAATTTCCATCGGATGGTCTTCCTTCTGCTCCTCGGTGGATTCTGTCAATGGACATGTAATTATTTTTCAACATCAGTTTAAGGCCAAAGCCTTTCCCTTGTTTGGCCCTGAACTCTTACCCACCCACTCTTAAAAATGTCCTCCAAAATCTAACCATCCTGCTATTTACAAGTCTATAACACAATCGCTCTTTTCTATGCCTCTCATCAATCCTCCTGCAAATGACTGTTTCCCGCTGTAATGTCTAAAGCACTTGCTCAAGGCACCTGAGAGTGACCAAGTCTCTCACTCTCCCCAAATCCCACTCCAGACTGATTTCTTCCACATAGCATTTTTTCATCATTCTCCACCTTAATTCCCAAGAGAATTACAAACTATAATTTAGACAGAAACAAGATGCAAGTGCAAATAGCATCGGTTTCACACTGCCTCTCCAGCTTGAGGTCCCCCCAGCCCTGGATTATATCCTGTTCAATTTTTGTTGACCAGAATATGTACTGGGTGTGACACAACAAGATCTGCAAGACTGACTTTCCCACAATTGTATTGTATTTAAAAGCTGCTGTCAGGAGAGTTCAACATGTCCCCAGATCAACTTTGCAGGCAAAAGACTGTCCTGTACCCAGTACAGTAGTGCACTGTGTTATGCAAGGCAGCAATAATTTCTGTACTACTGAGCTCTCTTAAAACAGCTTCCACATCATGCAGACATTGTTCTACTCCGAGAACAGGCCTGCCCACACTGTCTACATTAAAGTCTACCACCTGATGGGACACAATCATACTAAGAATGCAGTATGTATACCTCCAAAAACCTACTTTCTTTTCCTTTCTTTGTTCCACTGTTTACTTTTGTTTTGCTTGACTGATGAATCTGAGAACTATTATCTTCATCTGAGCTGGCACTGTGCACCTGTGTGTTAAATGAAAAGGCTGTGATGTATTGTTGCTGTGTGCAACTCGGAGTCAACACAGTACAGCAAGTGGCCTCTAGAACTCTAGGGCTGCAGGTTCAAACCTTCTGTAATGCATGGCTGTGGCCGAGTTTGAAAAGTTAATACATTCACTGCAATGCAATATTTATCTTAATTTCAAAGGATCGTTCAAAATAACCTGGAAGGAGTTCCCCATGCAACAAAACATTTAAGTAAGTGTCTAAGTCCCAACAATTTCACCAGAATTCTAAGTTGCTGAACCAAAGCCCAAACATGCTTTTTACAGAGTTTCAATGAAATGAACAGATGTGGCAGGATTTCTCCTCTCCTGCCACAAAAAGGCAACTACTTATGGGAGCTCCAGAATGGAGCCAAACGTTAGCATGAAAATCCCATGTGCATTTTGTAAGTGCAATGAATCCAGTAAAACCTACAGAGTAAGTCTACCCCAGTTTTCCTCCTTTACACATATTTGCAGGCAACACTTCACACTCAGATCAGATCAAATTCTCCCAACTCTGCCACTGCATGAAAAAATTGCGTACAAATCCCAAGATTTTCCTCTCTCCCTGCTACGCCATTCTTTTGGGAGGCATCACAAAAATATTATCACTCTCACACCCTAACCCAGTAGTTAGTGGAGAGGGAGGGGGAGAATAAATTCCTAGCATTCTCAAGGCTAGAGTGTAAGTGAAGGGTGGAGAAGGGAAGGCTGTGGGAGTAGTTAGTGCTGGTCTGGAGGAACATGTTGAAGGACTGATAATGGAGAAGGGATGGGGTGCAGCTTCCAGCATGGCAGCTTAGCTCACAGTGTGACACAATCTCCTGAAGAAAGGTCATTAGAACTATCTAAATGTACAAGTTGAAAAGGTCAGAATTAACATAAATATTCAGCACAGAAAAATGAATCTATTAAAGCCTATTATATTATTACCATTTTTAGCTGGTGATTGTGAAAAAACCCTGTTCTTCCAGGCCTTGTGGTTGCAATACTCGAGTTCTCTGGATGAACCCTGTACAGAAAGGTCAAAAGGAAATTATAAAAGACAGACTCACAAGTAACTCTCACAACACACATTTCTCAGCCTCTGGTTCTAGTCTCTTCTCTACAAGAGCCGACAGCAGAGCCTGCAGTCTGGCCTCACCCCATGTTCTGTGATTATTCTGCCTTTAAGAATTGAGGACCTAGGCTAAGTTCTCTGTAGTATTTGTAAAAAACCAGTTGTTCATACCTTTTGAGGGATCAGCAGCATTGAGGGATCAGATTACATTGTTTCCCAACTGTCCAACTGAGAACCAGTCTGCTGTTTTACTATTATTACATCAGATCACCTCAAAATAGAGCACCTACAGACAGAGTTTTGCCTTTTTCCTGCTACTACTTTCAATAGTTTTAATAGTGCAGCTTTCAAACAGGAGAACAAAGATGTTGTGGGTACAAGGGACAGCAGAGGGGGAGAGATGCAATATATGGCAGGTTTAGAAAATACTTTCCCTCAAAAGGACCTCAGTCTTTCATGTTAGGAGTTGAGGAAGATGGGAAGTAGTATTTGGTATATACATTTAAAACATCTAAAGTCACATTAATTTGGATTACATTCAGACTGCAGTAGAAGACACCAGTTTCAAAACTAATATTAATATCTGTAAAATGTCTAGCAATAAATAACAGCCCTTATTCAAGAAAATTTTCAATGTAAAAAAATGTGTTTTCCTGCCACAAAAAAGAAAATCCTGGTACTTCTTTGGGCTACTGATAATTGCAAGAAATGCTGCTCTTTAAGGCTTTCTTAAGATTTAAACTCCTTTGTAAATTCAAAATGTGCAGAGGCCACAAGAAAATGTGACATTATTACATGGTTACATTGTTTATTCTTTTAAAGGCAATCTGTTTGGGTGAATGACACATCAAGCCTAGCACACTGATGTCCTCTTAAATGTTTCTCAGTCCAGCTGGACTGACTATCATTTCTTAAGAGGCAGAATAACAATGTTTTTTTGTCTGTCATATTTTTTTTATACAGCCCAGGTGTAAACCATTTTTTTAATCTCAGGAAAGGAAATTAACGAGCTTTAAGGTAGCAGTGTAGTACAGGCAACTTTGAAACTCTGCTTGCCTACAATTTTTAGTAATGGCACTTAGCAGAAGTAAAACCTAGCTGATTACTTTTAATTATGTAGTTAGACGATGAATTCACTAGGCCTCCAAGATACTGAAATGCAAGTGAGAAAATAGTAGCAGATATTTTTAAAAGTTTCCATTTGCAATTTCATGGTACTTCTCAAAGTTCCACAATAATCTTCTACTATGAGAAGAGCAACAATTTGCAATCATTTGTGAGTAGTACACAGAAAGTGCTTACAAAGTAGCGTAGCAGAGCAACAAAGAAGCTCCCAACTTCCTTCTGAAAAGACTTGAGCATGCTATTGACACAGCCACGTGGTTATTTTGCAGTAATTTTATTTTAGGAATGCTGATAGGCTATGAGACCCTGAGTATACAGTGAAAACATAATTCACTGCAAAGGTGAGGTGTTGTCAGACTCCTAGCAGGAAAGGTTATGATAGAAATAAGAAAAGGTTTAGAGACTGGTAGCAAACGACAGGATAGTTAGTGGCTAATATGTCATTAAACCCTTCAGCATCATCAAGTATCTTTAAATGATTTATCTCAAGTATCTTCTATTAATTGTTTCAAAGCTGCATCATGATTAATTCCCTGAACAGATCAAGTACATCCAAGAGATGAACTGGCTTTCTAGAAAATGCCAAGTGGTACACATAGTAAGTAAAATTCACAAAGAGGAAAACTCTGTCCCACTAGAAGAAATAATTGGGAAATAACAAAGAAGTTCAGAAAGAAAAAACCCACCCTCATTTGAGGACATTCAGTTCTACTCTAAGTTATAAAACAGAATTCCTAGAATAGCAGAATATTGATTTTGTTATGCTTAAGTTTATTTTGATAAACTTACAGGGTTGATTTATTTTCACTATCCACAGTTTGAGACAAAGATTCCTTATTCTCAAGAATGTCATGTTTACCAGTCTGCACTAGTTCAATGACTGAATTTGAACAATCAGTGTCAAGTTTTCTTTTTTTGGAAAAAAACCCATGGTTTCTGTCATTCAGAGCACTCCTTTCTTTCAGCTCTTGACCAGCATCTCCCAATACTTCAGCTCTGCTCATTAATCTGCCTGAAAGCAAAAGAAAAGTTTGGTTTGCTTTTTGGTTTTTTTTAATGTTTGTTTTCTTACTTTCACACTATCATAGGTCAAACTTACATTAAAAAAAATACAAGAACATTACTTGGGAAAGCAAAATATGAATGCAGTCTATGATTCTATGATGTCAATAGAGGCTGACATACAAACTGAATTAGACATACAGCCCTCAGTACAGCATGCACAGACTTATGAGGTGAAAAAATCAACAGTCTGAGATAGACTTTGCTCCAGAATGTTTTGATTGTTTGTCTGTCACCATTGCATTGCAGAGTTCTTCAAGGTTCTTCTGTCCATTTGATCATGTTGCAAGTTAAGATTATATTGACACACTTCTCCTCCAACCCCATATTTCCGTGTTCTCAAAAAAAATCCAGGGCAGAGGCCACAAGAGAGGGAAAATTATGCTACACATCTTCCACAGGTCACCTTCTGTTACCTGAGTAGGTACAAACAAAGGTCCCCTTGTCGATATCATCCAGGCAGCGGACACCCCAGCCTTTCTTTTCAGTGTTGAACACTTGCAACCTGACTTGAATGCCGTGCTGTACAACTCTGTTCTGACACATCAACTTGTCACACCTGCATAACACACTGCACTCGTAAATTCTGTCAAGAGGAAGAAAAACAAAACACAATATAAAAGGATGCACTACTAAAACAAAGTTTCTATTATTAATTTCCCTTCTAAGCATCAATAAGGCAGTGGACTGAAAAGATAAAGACTGACTAAAACTGGTTGTGCAGCAGTGCTCTGGAAATCGTGACTTTCTTGATTGCTGATTCATCAATTTTAAGAGTCTGTCAGCTAGATTTTGGTATCAGCAGACAAGAAAAATAAATGCTAAATTTTTGTTTTATAGGAGTAAATCTCACAGAAGCAGAAATCCCTATGAAGCACCTCATTCTACACTAGAACAGATTTTAGCAAAGACAACCTATATGCCTGAACCTCAATGCAGTTGTCATGAGTTTAAAGATTTAACAAAGTATATCTACAAGAACTCACAATTGTGATTTTTTTTTTTTTGCATTTTTTTCTGGGTTCCCTGACAGCTTTAATTCCGCTCGTTAACCATAAACTAACATCACACAGCAAGAGAGAACCGAAAGGGCTCCTTAAGCCAGTGGGTTCAAGCCTTTGGCTATTGCAGAAAGCTGCTTTGCATGATTCCTCTTCTGAACACTTGAAGTAACTGGCACCTTCTTCAGGCCACATATTAATCCACAGGAGCTGAATAATAGAAAGGGCAAACACTTGAAGCATTGGATGGCTTTGGAGACTCTTGGAAGAGGCACATATAACCAAGTCTGGCAACAGCAGCTGGTCAATGCTTCTTTAGGACTCTGGTCACTCTTTACACTTTTCTTAGACCTTAATCTAAGCTGTGAAAATTGTAGGATCTGCAGTAGAAGAGTTTTTGGGTTTTTTCCTCCTATTACTCAAGTCACATTAATTATTTTTTATCATCCTGATCTGTCAGTAAAATTGTGACAAAATTAGAAGGTTTCAGTTAGCCAAAAACTCCAGTTATCTTAATCCTGTAGCACTTACACTACAGGAGTAAAATAAGAGCATACAAATAAAATAGCAGTTAATAGTTCAGTCTTTCTTACCCACTAGGAACAGGTCCCTCCAGTCTTTTGTAACGGTATCCACGGCATCTTTTACTACCTGAAGATAGAGAAGTTTTACTACAGCCTCTTGCAGTTAGCTGTAGGCATGCACATTTTGACCTAAAAGTAAGAATAAAACATCTCGGAATGTATTTGGAGCAGCGCAAATCAATCATAAATCTAGGTAAGTTGAAATGTACTTAACTATACACACACACACACACTTGTATATATACATCTATATTCCCCTTCCCCACTTCTTTTATTCCACAAGGCTGTTTCAGGCACCCTACTTTGTCTCTTGGTTGGTTATGTGTACTTTACAATAAACATGTTCGCTCCACCCCAACCTCATTCTTCCACCAAGCTCCCTAAATGGCACATGCAAACAGCTGAAGTACAATAGAAATTTATTATAAACAGGACACTATCAAATGGATCGAATGAATGAAAATCACCTCTTCTGGCACAGCATTCCAGCCTGTTAACCGCTACTTTGTTACTTTCCTACCACCTTAGCCCTCAGGAAGTGAAGAATTTCACACTGTGGAGAATTCAAGCAACAGCACTTGTCTTCACCACCGTATGGCACAACAACTGCAAAGAATCCCAGCGATCGTGCAAATCCTGAATCCTAAAATTGCACATCAAAAGCATTTCAACTCTTGTGGGACTTCACTGCTCAGCTGAAACTAAATCATTTTAATTACTGAAGCTTCTTTATACCAGGCTGTGATTTCAAGGTCTTGTTGGGTCATGGGCAACTATGCTGCACACCAGCACATGCAACTGCCCCAGCTATCAAAAATACAAAATGGATCCAATACCAGGTAACACCTACAGATGGAGATCAGACAAACACCCTTCAAGAAAGCAGACAAAATTATCACCAAACTCTCATACAATAACTGTGGCAGGTTCCCACAGAGTGTCTGTAGCCCAGAGTTACTGAGATTTAGAAAAAGCAATGAACAACACTATTGGAACTGCTCAGACCATAAATGTATTCTGTGACCACAGGCTTTCATAGTTTCTGTTTAGATAAGGGGAAGGAAAGGATGTAGAGGTTGGGAAGAGGGTTGTTTCTTCCTCTGCCCTCAGTAACCTTCTAAGTTCCAAACGATCTGATCCCTTCAGGCTGTCCCATCCCACCTTTAGGATACCACAGTAGGAGCTGCAGCAGATATTGTCATGTGGGATCCTTCCCTGCCTGCCAGGAAAAAATTCTTCCTCTGCTGGCACAAGAGTCTCTTTCCTACACCTTTTCCAAAGGCAACAGCCCTGCTTGTCAGCTCCACCTGGAGGAGAAGCACTGCCAATTTGTGAAGAAAGGGAAAGGAACAAAATAATCCACCTGTTGAACACTTCCTTCACTACAACAGAGGGTGGACCAGTAGGAGCACCCAAGTTCTGGTGAAGAGAAAGACACAGTGGTGTTAGTCAATACCGAACATGGCACAAGACAACTCCCGCAGATATTCCAGCAGCATTGGTCCTGTTTGACACTGTTTGGTACTGTGCACCTTCACACACCACCACGCTGCTGTTGTGGCATCGTGTCACTGGACTAAGATTAGATTTTTCTACCTACCTATCAATGCAGCCATCTGTGCAGTCACATGAATCCACAAACAGGCTGGAGAAGTTGTTGAGATAATATCCACGTGGCCACGATGACTTCCGATATTTGAAATAAGGTAACCTTGCGCGGTCAAGATTGTTACAGAAGGAGATGGGCACAGACTCGGCTCCGTTGCTAATATCAAAGTCAAACACAAGGGGTTCGGGATTCATGGTGTTCCTGCCCAACAGTACATATGTGTTGAAGGAAAAGTGATCAACAAATAAGAAATTGCACTTTGTTTCAAACAAATAATTTCGCACATCTCGAAAACTTCTCAGACTCCGACCGCAAGGAGCTTTGTAATTCACATCCAGTGATTTCGAAAGGCAGTCTGCTTTTGCGTGCCGTCTTTGAAAGTGAAACAGCATTGGCATCTTCAGAGGGTTTTCACCCTTGTAGAAGCCCGCTGCTCTCTTGGCAAGACATGCACTAGAGCACTTGTGGTTCTGATACTGTAGGTTTAAAGGTAAGTGTTGAATTTCGCTAGATGCTTTTTTAGTCCCGGACCACGTTCTTTCCATCTCCTCTTTCCTGTTACTTGGAGCAGAAGAGAAAAAAAAAAGAAAAAAGAGCAGCATCTTAGACAACCAGCGAAGCATTCAGCTTTTTAGTGGTTCAATATTTTTAGCACAGGAAAGAAACAGCCCATTCCTGGAAGGCCCAGGGTTTCACTGAAACAGTTTCACATGGTATTACTGTCCTAACTTCATATGAAGATATATTCAGTTGCATTAAAAAAAGAAAAAAAAAAAAGCAACAGCTTCTTAGCTTCTTCCCAGAAAGAACTTACATACTAAAACACAGAAAGGATGTAAAAAAAAAAAAAAAAAAAAAAAGAGATGAACAACATATTTACCCCCCAATCAGTACCTGAGGCTAAATACAGAGGGACTAAGTCACATGCCTGACAATATGCAAAGTACAGAAACCCTGAGAACTGCTGCTTAAGTCCTAACCCTGATAATCCAGGTAATAGTCATGAATCTTCATTCACAACCCAATGCCCTATTCTGCAATGTTCTCATGGGGTAAATTAGACAAGTCTACTTAAAACCTCACATTTTCCATGTAAGTCAAAAACATTTTCACTTTGAAAGCTGGCAGAATTCAAAACTGACTTTAGAAATACAAACTGAGAACTCTCTCAAATGCAGTAAACAACATGTCAAATAAGGAACTGAAATAAAGATGCTGACCTGTCAGAACCTTCTACAGCATTTGCAGTGTTGTCATCTGCAAGAAGATGCTGCAATTTGGGTTCGGTTTCCTGTACTCCATCTCCATCAAACCCATCGCTTACTGAGAAAAATGAATGCAAGCAAAAATTTCGTCAACTCACATTTCAATCTATAATTGAATTTAGTTACTAAAGAGAAAATTGACAAAATTCATTAAAAATAATGCATTGCTATGAAGTACAGCTAACAAAGAGCATGTCAGTAAGTGCCCCACTAAAAAATCTTCCACAGTTTTCAAAGTGACCAGAAACAACACGCACATGAAACACACTTATAGATTTCCCTTCATTATTTGAGATAAAAGAATCCCAAGGTATTTCAGCTAGTGGAGTCATGCACAGAATAACTCTGCTTGCAGACAGCTCAGGTTCATCAGGGCTTACTAGTTCAAACCGGTTCCCTTGGCACAAGTATTATCCACACACACACAAACCACAGAAATACAAATCCAGGTGAAAGTTCACAGTCCAGTACCTGAGGAAATTAATAATTATATCTTCCCCACTGTAATGCTAATGGCCTTCTCAGATCTGTTTTATTGATTTCAAAGGAAGGAATTAAACTTCTAGTGAGTAAAACAGGAAAAAAATGAATCCACATACCAAACAAATACAATTGGGATGCACATACCGTTTGTCAAAGTTAAGAGATCACTTAGATTAGCTTCATTCACCAGTGCCCAAGCCTGCCAGCATTCTGTGCAAAAAAACCCAAACCAAAGCAGATACTTAATGTAAGTGAAGTAATGATAATAGGGAAAACAAGGTGTAAGTCCACCAGAGAGACTTGTTTCCTCATTAGGCTAATCTAGAGTATTGCAAGACTGATACTATTAGAAACCTTTTGCACCACAGACCTTAACAGGCACATCTAAGAACTGCAATAAAATCACAGCTCACAGTAGTAGTTGTAAATTAACAGTGAATATCCCTTGGCTTTTGGAAAGCTGTGGGAATACTTCCAAACACACACAAACTGGTGGCCTACAGTACAGTAGCAGTAATACACAAAAAGACAACTTAGTGTGAGTTTCTCTCTTTACTCTGTCATCAGTCTACTTATCTTCGAGCTAAGAAGAGCCACGCTTTGTCTGAAAAAGTGTATCAGCAAAACAAGAAAATAGCAAAATGCACCTGAGATCGTCTTTTTTTAAAATGAAGAGACTTTTTAAAAATGCTTAAAACCACCAACTACTAAGTAATTTAAATTCAGAGATATCTGAATTATGTCAGATATCTCAAAGACCTACACAAAGCAGGCCACAGCTCCTCTGCAGTCCAGCTTAACAGCTACAAGGATTTCAAACCTTGGTTTGTGGCAGTTCCATTCTTGATCTTTTCCTTTAGCAACAGCAGCACATTTTGCACCTGCTCAAATATGACATCCACTCTTCTACTTCCCAATTGTGTCCAAAACGTTTTCAAATCACCTGAAATGCAAATTCCTGTTTACAAGTCTGTACAGCTCCTGAGAAGTCTAGAAATACATGTAACTTCTAGTGGACTATTCAAAGGCTCATTTCATTTGGAGGCACTTCTCAAAAACCAGTCAGGACAGCAGAACAGCTTAAACCTTCAGAAGTCTATTCCTAAAGCTAATCAAGAAAGTGAAACAGAAGTCAAGTGACGAACTGGAGTGGGTTCTGATGGTCCATGATGCTCCTTCAAGCAACCTTTGAAGCATGTCAAAGGGTGCTGTGGAAGCCTTTCTTCAAATACCAGAAAATTAGTCCCACTATAAACAAATCACCACTGAAACTCACAGGAGTGGCAAAGGAGAATATTTTCAGCTCAGTGAACTGCATATATTATTCAACAAAAGACATTCAGAATTTTTTTTTTATTGCTGTAACCTCTCTGACTATCCTGTCCCATCATTAGTTTTGGTATGTTTTCTAGAGAAAAAAAATATTCACAATATTTTCAGATAAAAGCAGTTTGGTAAATTTTGTTCACCAAGTGATATCAGTTGAAATAATTAATATACCCCATATGTCATGCCTCCTTCCTCCACTAGAAATAAAGAACATTTTGTTTAAAGAAATTCAAGCTACTGGTTCAGAACATACCTTCTCTTCCAAAGGTATGTACTTTTGAGGTACTAAGCCCATTCATGAAAGCTTTTGTTAAAACATGAGCAGTACATCTTTCTCAAGGAAAAGGAAATAGGGTTCAGTGTGTCAACAGATGATGCCTGAAAAAAGAACAAGCTCTTTCTCATGGTTAATGTTCCTCTTCTTCAATGACCAAGCACAAAAGAATAAGCAAATCCTACTCCATTTCTAGAGGTGGAGCCCACTGTCAGACTAGGTTTACATTCCACTTTCAGACAGCAAATCTCAGCTGGCAAATGTGCTGGGGTGATACCTCCCCAGCAGTCAAGAAATACTGCATTCTTGTAAGTCTTGTAAAAAAGTATTTCCTTCATTTTTGACTTACTAGAGAATGACTTCTGTTGCCCAAGGCACCAGAAGCAAAGACATTCTACTGCAGTACAGAGTGTACGGTTACTCTCAAAAGCATCATGACAGCAGTGAAGGGAGTAACAATCTTTTGTCACCACAACCCCAGCTGCTTGTGACACCAGCAGCTAAAAGTGTAATATTTAATATAAACAGGCAATGTTGAAAGTACTTCATCTTGTGAAAGAACTGATTTGGCACTAACTCTCAACATAATTTAATGATCTCTTATATTCACAGAAATTTTAAGAAAAATGTGAAAAAGTTAAAGTCCCATTACAAAAAAAGCCACAAAAATTTCTGGAAGCCTACATTAGTGGTCCAAGAGACAATGCCTGCCCTGTGCCATTCCCATCCTTTCGCTGTGCATGACAGTATCACAAATTTAAAATACTGAGAAGTAAGCATATTTCATATTTGTGTTTCAAAATACACATTCAGGAATAGATCAAAACTGCTGTCCTCATTCATTACTGGTTTTCAGACACTTCAATACATTTACTAAATTCGGATGATTTTTTGGATTGGTGGATGTATTACTTCAGAGGACGGGTGACAAAACACAGCGTTTTGTTTCTGGGCCCTCAGCTATAATCATGCATAGCTGAGAAATAAAGAGAAATAAAACATATGCTACTATGTGTAGTGCTCACTCACCTTAGAAATGCTTCCCCAGTTCTCATGCTGGAGTGTCCTGAAACTCTAGCAGCAAAAACTTTGTTTTGCACAGAGGAGCAAAGAACGCATATGAAGTTCACAGTACAATTTTCATTTCAAAAAAGACAGATGTCCACATCACTAATCTCTCCAATGTTAATGCTGCTACTGTCAACCCCAGACAGGAGGATAGCAAATGAACAGACATAGGAAGCATTTACCTTGTCAGCTTTCAGAATCATCTCACCAGCTGATGACTCAAGGTGTGGAATGGCATCTGGTGGCAATAGTTCTAAAACTGGCTGGAGGGATTTTCTTTTCCCTCTATAGAATCCTTGTGGCCACATATCACTTTTTTTTTCCAGCATTGTGCAGGGCAATGATGCTAGAGCAAGAAACAAGCAGCCAAGGTCAGGGCTGCTTATTCCAGCCACTAGAAAAACAACTCCTGTGCGTGTTTCCTGCAGTGCTGCTGACTAACATCTTAAACCATAAAAGGCAAAGCTATTGTCTTTCAGTTGTCATTTTCACATCAGAAGCAGTGCCAAATATACACTACCTTCCCCTTCCCCTCCATAAATCCAAATTATACTACCTTTAATGCTCTCCTCCCTGGAACTGGTAAGGTTCTCCTCTTCAAAGAAGTCGGGCAGCACTACAAGTGGTGCAGAATGTACAAGTAAGAGATTGTGTGAGCAACCACAATGGTTGTAGCTACTCAGCTTTTCAAAATTTATGCAAGTAAATACTACAGTGGGTATCAGCAGCAGCACTGTGTGGTGCTGTGGTGAAACAGCACTGTGGTGAAACAGTCACCCTCCTTTCAAATATCATCCCACACCTTGTCAAGATACAGTTGAGGAACACACAAATGAAACAAGCTGCATAAGGAAGCTTTTTTACGTAGTCATTTCTTACTATCCCTCAGTCATGAAGCTGTCACGGATGGCCCATACATTCCAGGTGAGCCTACACAATCCCCACTGTCTATTAGCTCACAGTTCTTTTTTTCTTTTTAAATTTGTGCTGTCAGTACTACAACTAAATTAATTTATTTAGGGAAAAAAAAAAAAAGAAAGCTTCTTTTAGGTAAATATATTACTGAATCTGTTTCTTGGCAGAAGTAAGATGAAGCAAGGCATCTACACTGTAACAACAGTAAGGAGAAGCAAGGCAGCGCTCTTCAACCACATTTAAGATTCCGAATTTCCATCATCATGAATTACAGAATTAGGTTGGAAAAGACCTCTGAGATCATCGAGTCCAACCTGTGACCGAACGCCACCGTGTTAACCAGACCATGGCACTGAGTGTGACGTCCAGTCTTTCCTTAAACACCTCCAGGGATGGTGACTCAAGCATCCCCCTGGGCAGCCCATTCCATTCCATTTATGTTGGCTACTTAATCTTTTCTATGCTAAAATTGAAAAAACACTGGAACAGATACTTCCTTTGGCTGAATGGGAAAATACCTTAAGGGAAGACTGTTGGCTTCTAGAACTGTTTCTCACAAGACCAATGACTGCTCAAAACATACACCTATTTATTTTTAAGGCTTACTTCTTTTCTCTTCCATCCTCCGGGGAGGCCGCTCGGAGCGCTGTCACTGGCGCCGGGGCAGTGCCAAGCCCAGCTCAAGTCGGGGCGCGCCGCGTGGGTCTCGCTGCGCTCCGGCACGGCCGCGGGCAGAGAGATGCCTGTCGGACAGGGAGCTGGCATGGGGTAAGCCTGCGGTCAGGGGTCGGGGCCCGGGTCAGTCCCGCAGCCTTCAGGGCCTCGCCGCGGCCCCCCGCGCTCCTGCTCCTGCTCCTCCTCCTCCCGCACCTGCGCCGCCGCCCGCCAGGGGGCGCAACCCCGCCGGGGCGCGCGAGCCAGCGGATCAGGGCAGGCCCCCGCGCGTGGGGATAAACCTGCGCGCACCGCCTCTGTCTCCGCTACTACTGGCTGCCGTGGTGGGAGGGGCGGCGGCGATGGCCAATGAGAAGAGGGGGCGGGGCCGCGCACCCGCGCAGAAGCGGCGGAGGCGGGGGGGCAGAGCGAGGGACTGGAGGTGCGTCCGCCATCTTGGAGGGGGCGGGTCGAGGGGGGGGCGGGTCGTCGGCGGGGCGGTGTGGGGGCGCAGTCGCCATGTCGGGGCAGGGGGGTGAAGGCGGAGTGGGCTGGGGGAGCGTGCTGGTGTGGTCCCACCAGGGTCGAGCTGCGGCGTCTTCATAAATGTGTCATAAATGAAAACGTATGATAACGAGTGAGCGAGTTGCGTAACTTAACTGCTGGCCGCTGCCTTTCGCCCTAGCTGGCTGTGGCGCTGCCCTATGAAGTGCTAAATTGTCGCTGCCCTTTTCGATTCAAAGTGTGAAAATAAAGGTTTGTGTCGCCCTTTAAAATTTTAAGCAGCGCTGCCTTTGCAAGTGTTGGCATTGTGGCTATGTAAAGGGGTTTTTCAGAGGGGCTAAAAAATAACCCGCTCTTAAAAGGCAGTGAGGGTGGTTTGTCAACCCTTTTTTGTCGCTTCTTTTTTTTTTGCCACCACTTCAAACTGTATATATGAACATAATACGCTCAAATAATTGTTAAAGGATTTCTAATCTCGTGGATATTACTAAAATATTGGGGAGAGAGCAAGATAGAAATTTAATTTTTCTTTGGGGAAAATGCTGTATTTACATGACTTGAAGCTCTGGTCTTACCCAGGATCCTCCAGAAGATTTTGATGTCCAGCATCTGCTTTGGACTTCTATAAAACCTTTTAAATGTTTACACAGGCATGCCTACATCTGTGCCTGTGTCTGAAGTTCAGCCCATGAGAACTGCCCAGCTCCACAGAAAGGAATGGGACAACTCACAATAACATTGCTGGGAACAGGGTGGCTCAGTGTCACTGATGTGCTGACAAATCTCTCAATAAAAATAGTAGTTTACATCTTAAAAAAGAGATTTCTCCCTTGTAATTATTTATTTTAAAATTAAGCACAAGCTTTTCTCGCTCTTGGAATATTCTGCATTATGAGATGATGCTTGCAGATTAATTAAATTATTAATATATGTGTTTGTGAATACTGAGTGTTTGGAAACACTTAGGGCTTTACAAGTTGTACATGAGGAATATAACAAATACAGAAAAGATGGAGCCCAGTGATGAGAAGAAGCTGAAAGAACATGACTGCCTGCCTTGACCAAAAGAGAAATTATGAATATATTAGAAAGTAGTAATGTATTTTGCTTGTTATTTGAAGCAAAAAAAGGGAAATATGTCTTTCTTAAAACAAAATTAATGACTTAACACAAAATTAATGAGGCAGTTTTGAAACATACCCGAGTTTCCTTTGTTTTGCTTTTATCCTGGAACTGTAATATAGGCTTTCTGCAACACAGCAGCAAATTCTGCCTGTAAGCCAGTAAGCTCAGTTCTTCCCAAACTTGTTAGGTGGCAGAAGCTCACAAGCGATGCTGATCTGACATCCCAGCAACCTGCCTGCAGCACTCCTCCAGCAGCAGTGTGAGCTTCCCGGGGCTCTGCAGTCTAGACCTGGACCGACTACCTGCACCCCAAGGTGAGAGTAGCGGTCTCACGTGCTTACACATTCGCTAGCACCTTTTGTTAGGGTGACAACGAAAGGACTGACTGTCCTGGTGAATGGTGCTGTTGTTTGAGTTGCTGAATTATGCTTTTGTTACGTAGTTCTGTAGAGACTTCAGATGGACAATTTTATTTCATAGACAGGCAGACCACAAACAGCTCCTTTGAGTGGGAGGAGGTGAAGCTGGTCCAAAAGGAACTGTCTCATCTAGTTCTCTTCTCCAGGGATGTTTTTGTTGGCTTGAATGCCGTAGGGATCTGGGTGTTTCCTCCTATGACCAGATAGACTTGGGTGAAGTAGAGACACCAGTCAGACTCCAGAAAACACAAAGCAGTCAAAGCCATAGACTTTGGAAAGCCATGGGCATTTGGAAAATGCTTTTTAACTCTCATACAGCTTTTTTTTCCTTTTCTGATGGGCTTGGCTCTTTGTTTCATAGACTCTTTTCTTCTTGAAGTATCTTCATCAGTTGAGTACTTCCGCCAGCTCCTTCTCTGTCACTTTCTCCATTATGCTTCTTGGTGTTTTAACTTGCTCCTTTATAGATGAGTGTCCGCACTTCAGTCTTTCAAAATGCAACTTTAACATAATGTTCTTTTTTATTACATTGATTAGTTTAAGGATGGTTTATATGTAATCTCTTGTTTTTCACACATCTTGAGTAAGATGACAGAAGAGAGAACAGGCATTTCTATACAGATCACAGATCATTGCTACTTTAGAAATTCATTGCCAACAAAATGTTTTTAGTGAGGCAACCTTTGGTTTATGTTAGAAATTTTGCTGTAACCCATAATTACTTATGAGGACACGGGCTAATATTCCCCATAAGTACATTGCTCAGTAATTGGACTCAGACTATTTACAGGCCCTCAGCATGTTTTGTTACTATGTTTTGTAGTTCTTTTGCTATTGTAGATATGTTAGAAAGTTGTTTGGATATTAATTTTTTCCAGGTATTAAATGAAAAAAGGGGAGGTTATGGGTCTCTGAGAAGCCTGTAAAATGATTTTGTTCTACCTGTGACGTAAGCATGTTTGCATTCTTGGCAAATAAAAATCTAACAAATTGTCTATTTGAGAAGTGAGCTTCTAAAAGCATAGGCTGTTATAGTCCTAAGGGAATCTTAAAACACAGGCAGAGACTGGCTATGAAAAGGAAAGGAAAAATTTGTGTCACTGTTTTAACAATAGACTTCTTTCATGTGGAGGACCTAGATGTCTGTTAATTACTAACTGGCTTGAGGGTTTTGGATTCTGGCCCAATATGCTGAAATTCTTAACCATCCGCTGGCTGGCATATTCTTCGAGGACTGTATTTGGAAACTGATAATGTAATGGATTTCATCTTTATAGACTGTTTATGTAGTAGAAACGTTTTCATTTTTAGCTATGTTTCTGTCTTACAGTCTCGGTATTCATTGCCGGCATACATTCCAGATAGTTGTGTGAGCACAGAAAGCAAGAACCGGTTTGGAGGTTAATAATGTTGGCCCAAGTTGAGCAGCATGTGTTGTCTTTGCTGTGCCACAGCCCCACCACAATGATCAAAACGTAAAACTCTGCCCTCTAATTTTAGGTGACTTGGATGAATTAACAAGATCTGAAAGCCTATGATTACTATTGCACTTGAGAGAGTCTAAGATCTCTGGAAACAAGGCAGTAGATGCATATGATGAAAGGAATCCAAAATAAATGGTAGCCTAAAACCCTTTTTATCATCCTTTTTCCATGTGAACATGGCCGTATATTTGTCTAAAATAAATTTTCACTGGTATTTTCTGAAGTAAATCTAGTAATTGTAAATTATTCCAACCCTTTTGATGAGTTCTGTTTGTGGGTTTCCATGCAGATTAAAGTATGTGCACCAAGTATTTTCATTAAATGAAGATGTAGTAGACAAAAATCTCTAAGCAATCTGCAAGATTGAATGAATCTGTGGTGTTCCCACTCTTAAGAGATGTTCTGTGGAGACCTTCACAACTCCCTTTCGTTATGCCTTTTAGTTTTTAAATCCAGCTGCGGAGAAAGTTGTCCTTGTGGTGCCAGCTGATGGAAGGTTGATCCATTTAGTGCTGATCTTGGTAGCAGCTGTGCAAAGGCCAGGGAGGCAGCACCTGGCATAGAATTGGACTTGAACTAATAAAAGCCATCAAAAAAGCAGCATATGGCAACAACCTGAAGTAATTATTATGTGTAAATGAAATAACCACATTCAAATAAAACTGAAACCTGTAAGGTTTCAAATATGCTAAGATAAATTTGACTAAAACCCTATAAAACTGGGTGAATACATGTTTCGGTGAAGAGGCTCAACAATAGGGCTCTTAATAAGTATATTCTGGACTAAATAGTCCTTAGTTGCAACTTCCTGTTGGAAAAATAATTCAGTTGAAGAAAACCCTAATTTTTTAGTTACTGTTTTCTCTGATCCAGTTCAGTGTGCTGCATTAGCACTTGGTTTGGCCTAACTTAGTAAAGGTGTGGAACTGACAGTAAGGTGTAAAAAACCTGCTTCTCCTTAGTGTAAGGAGAAGCAAGAATGGGAAGCAGTATTGTCTTATTAATATGTATTGCATTTGGTTTTGTTTTTAAGCATTATGATGGGTCAGGGAAGACACAGTCCCCTGAACATTTAAAATTGGCAAAGAGGGGAACAGTTTGGATATTCTATGCTTCTCAGCCCCTCCCTGTTCATTTGTGCCATTGCTTAGGGGAGTGGTTTGGTTTAAAAAAAATTACTTATTTGGCTCAAATAATTTTATCTGAATAACGTTTTCCATCTAATTTGCTGTGCAGCCACTTGGTATTTCTGCTTCTCTCAGGGAATTGGGGGTGGCCTGGGTACAAAATGAGCATCTGGAGATAATGGATTGCTTTCTAATTTAATTGTTGGTGTCATTTATCCAAGTTTAAAGTGTTTGTGCAACTACTTCTTTAGTATGAACAAAGTGGTGGTATGGGCAGAACACTTAACTGTGTCTGGGTTATTGTGGATGGTCTTATCACACAGCAGAGCCTGAACCTCTCTGCATTCTCAGTGATGCTGGACCAAAATCCCCTCCTGCTTTTTTTACAGAGTGGGGAGATTAATGGGTTTCTTTCATGAGCGTCTGACTTTAAGTTTGTTGTTACTTTTTTCCCCTGTAAAATTCTTGAACCAAAGAACCTGTGGAACCAAAAAGCTGTGTTGAATACATCCATGACAACCTTTC